AATGCAAATCTGTTGGCAGGCAAATCAGCTCCCTCATTAGGTACGTCATCTCTGCATTTGGCTGAAGGTTTGGAGTTCAGCTTTAAATACATTACATAAAACCCCCCAAATTTCTATATCTGCACCAAACACAAATCAAACCGCCGTTTTGCAGCAGTTAAAGGAGATGGATAACGATTGGTGTTATCATCCCCCCAGAGGGCCGGGTATAGAACCAGCACGCCGTTTTCTGCAGGAACGCCGCATTGCCTAATAGTCTATTTCAGGCTGAACGCGGAAAGGAATTGAAAATCAGATCTTTTGTGTGTGCAGATTGCAGCCTCGTTCCCTTCAGCGCTCCTCGGGCTACGCTCCTTCTGCACGACACATGGCATCTTTTGTCCGCTGTCGCCATGAATGCGCTTCCCCTAACACAACGCGTATCGCTCTTTCTCCATCAGCGGCTGGATTTTAGCCCTCGGGGCAAACTTTTTATTGCTCCCTTTTTACAAACAGCTTTGTCAGGAATACAGTTTGAAGACATCAAATGGTAGACAGCTGAGCACCACGGCTCAGTTTTCAGATGGTGCACGTTCTGGTAACTTGATGACCAGGGAAGAAAAAAACCCAACGGTGCAATCTACTGTAAACCTTCCACACCTGATACTCTTCCCCTGCACAACAGCTGAAATATAAAGAAAGGCTGGCAGTGGGAGTGTCCATACAAAAAAAAAAATAAAGAGGAGCAGAGAACATGAAGTGTACATCCATCGTTCACAGAGAACCGAGGCTCAACACAGTTCCATGTTTTATGCTCTGGAACTGTTTAAGCAGCACAATGGCATGTTTGGGGGGGGGGGCAATTAAAGAAATAACGGAATACAGGATAATTAAACTGAGCTTAAATCACCTAAATACATTTCAGGGGCATCAAATCAAAGTGCGTGCAAAGACTTGCAGTTCATTGTCTTTAAGCAGCCACAGCCCAAGTACAAAAGCCTGTCCCCTGCCAGCATGCTGCAGAGAAGGAACCTTGCTCTCTGCATGGAAGCAGTGGTCTCTCTGCAAATATCTGACATACCCCATACAAAGTCAGACCTATAGTGTTGTCATTAGCAAAGCTCAAACTCAGCAAAACGTGTGTCTGCAGAGAGACCACTGCTTCCACACAGAGAGCCAGGGTCCTTCTGTTCACCATGCTGACAGAGGTCAGGCTTTCCTACTCAAGCTGTGGCTGCTTTCTAAATAAGACAAACTGTCAGACATTAAACACCTTTTACTTTGATGCATCTGGAATGTATGTAACTGGGCTTTAAACATAATATAGGGGGTCCTCATCTCCCCAACTCTAGGGAGCTCATGTATAAACCTCCCACCTAGTGTAAAGCTGAGCGAAAGCCATTTGCACATTACCGCCACTAGATGGCACATGGGAGCAGAGAAAATTCCTATGCTGCTCGGCACCATCTAGTGGCGGTAATGCTGTGTGAATGACATTTGCCCAGTTTATACTGGGGGGGGGATTTATTCGTGAGAAGTGAAAGTAAATCAATAATGAGAGCGAGTGTACCCACAAGCTGCTGAATTCATGGAAGTCACAGACATCAGGAGCGAGCGACAAAAGATCACGACTAGTCTTTCCCATGTACACTCAGTGGATCATTAGCGGCTGAAGGATATGCATAGGTTACGCTCCATTGGTCACAAGTCTGGCATAACTCAGGATGTGAAACTTGCTGCAGAAATAACAGCAGGCTGATTTTTTATTACAGGTATTTACATAGCGCTGACAATTTTTACACAGTGCACAGTCACATCAGTCCCTGCCCTCAAGAAGCTTACAATCAAAGGTCCCTTTTGCAATATACATACGAGGGCCAATTTACCTTGCAGCATGTCTCTGGAGTGTGGGAGGAAACCCACACAGGCATGGGGAGCACATGCAGACAGAGCTGCAAGACAGAAGTGGTAACCACTAAGCCGCTGTGCTGCCCAGGTTCAGGAAATGGAAGTCTCCCTCAATATTCAAAGCAGGACGGGAGACGCTGTCAGAAGCAAGGACTGGTGGTGCAAAAAAGAAAAAACCAACACCAAGGCCTGTATACTTCTCACACATTCCAAATTCTATTTTTACTATAATTACCAGTTCATATACAGTATATTGCCTGAAGGAAACAGAAGATCATTCCAGTGACACCTCAACATCTGACCCGAGCGATCAAAACCAATTAACTGCTGTGACCCATCAAATCACAGGAAAGGGTTGAATACAATAAATTAACATTCACAGTGGGAAGTTATTGCTAGAATAGGATACAAGAACGTACACACATATAAACAACAACATTTGGGTTGGTCAGCTGTCACAGTTGCAAAGTTTTTAACAACTGTACTGGGTGTGATCATCGTAAACATTTACTGAGACTTCAATTAAAAAAGAGTCATCAAAGTAAAAAAAAAAAAAAAAAACAGAGCAAAGCTAACCTATTAAAAAAATCAAGTATAAATCAAATGAATAAAAGCTGATCACTTTGAGCACCCCCAGCAGTGTTATATGGTGATACAAATATGTAATGCGACACACACACACGGACACACACGCTGCTTATTTATTACTATTGACAAATTAAATAATCTTGTATTTTCCATTTACTGACCAACTGTCACTATAATTGGTTCTTGTAACTGCTGTAGCAGAAATCCTTCCAAACTATGCGCAGCGATCTACTACATTATGCTGATTGACAGCTGACCCGGGACTGCTCAGCTATGACATGTCAGAGGGATGAAGCAGCCACAGGCAGGACAAGGCACGCATCCCTCCCGGTAATATGATCAAGGGACAACAGGAGGTACAGTTTGTTCAGCACACAGAGAACATGCGACAGATAAGCATGACATAAATTCACACTCTGTATTCTGACCTGTCCCTGCTCTGTACTTTGTCCTACACGGAGGACTCAAAGTTTATATGAACATGAAAGCCATGATTACTTTCACAGAAACAAGATTCCCATCTCCAAAGCCTTGCAGTACCAGGACTGTAAATGCTGGCAACAACAACAACAGTACAGGAAAGTTACGTCAACGAGTAAAGGAAGCGTAAAGGAGTAATGAGCAGCAACTAGAAGTAACCAATCAAAAAGCAGCTTTCAAAAGTCTGACCAGACAAAAAGTGATGCATGGCCTGTTGGGCACACATGGCTCAGCTTATTCAAGTGAAACACTGATCACAAACATGGAAACTGCCACTGCTGTTTCTTTAGTTTGGGATAAACTAAAGGAGGGTTATAACCCCCATCAGCTTTGTTTGTCATCTGTGTCTCATTGGGGAGAATTCCCTTCACTTGTCCGACAGCCTCAACAGGAAGTAAAAGGAAATCCCTGGTGGTCAGTAGGGTCACCAGAACTAGTGTCCCCACTGGAAGATTTCTCATTTATTCCTGTTCTGGAAACACAAAAATTTGCAATTTTCATTTTCACTTTCATTCTCAGCAATAATGGTCACCAGAGAGACGGTGACTAAACCTACAGTCTGTGGTCACTTGTAAAGCCTTGCAAATAACCACCCAATGCTTCCATACTCCAGGCCTCTAAGACCACTGACAGCTTATCTTACAGAAGGTCCCCCAACTGTTAATCATCACAGCAGGAATGCCAATCATTTCACATGACCCATCCGTGGTCCGCTGAGGACTAGTTTGGGAAACAATGGGGCAGCTTACGATCATGTGATTACTCTGAAAATCAGGAAACGGTCATGTAATCACTGTGAAGGTCAGGAAACGGTCATGTAATCACTGTGGTCAGGAAACGATCATGTGATCACGGTGGTCAGGAAATGATCATGTGATCACGGTGGTCAGGAAATGATCATGTGATCACGGTGGTCAGGAAATGATCATGTGATCACGGTGGTCAGGAAACAGTCATGTGATCACGGTGGTCAGGAAACAGTCATGTGATCACTCTGGAAGTCAGGAAACGGTCATGTGAAAAAGTTCTGTCAACAAAACTTGTATCCAGATCTGCTTTCTCTTTCATTTCTCTTACACTGACAGGATAATAAACATGTGGGGATTTTTGAGGAGTTTTTACAGAAAAGGCCAACAAAAAACATCATTTACATTTAGCTTGGTTGTATGACTGAAATATTAGATTTTGCTGGCCCACTATTAACCTTTATAAGCACTAACAGCAGAGATTGTTGATTCAGGGGATATCCGATTGCCTTAGGCGCCTCTCATATGAGCGGTCCAATCGGGTCTGCCTGTCAGTTCAAGCGGACCCGATTGGATGCCCAATGATAGTCTGTGGGCAGCCAGGTGTAAATGGATGGGCATCTGTTTACCCCGGACTCTGGCCAGGTCTGGAAAAACAAATGGATCAGAGATCCGTTTTACCAGACCCAATAGTGCCAAATCGGACACATGTCCTTTTACATCCGACTCCCTATAAACCAACATAAGCCCACCACACGTGCTACAATCTGGTTGTAAAACCTCCCTTCAATCTACCAACAACCATGTAGTCCAAGGGTCTGCCTGATTGGAAACAAAATTGATTGGAAAGTATTAGGTAGGTCCTGATATTACAAAGATTTGGTAAATCTAAAATTGATTGTACAAAGATTGTATGGTCAGATTGTAAGGCATATGGTGATCCTATGATGAAGTAAAAACTGGACGGACATACTGCTCCGAACAGGAAGGGATCCGTGCATGATCAGCCCGTGTGAAAGGGGCCTTAAAGGATCATCACTGGAGTATATTGGGCCATATATAAGGGTTTGTTTTGCATTCCTGCGGATCACGTGTGGGTAACTGTGGGCATGGGGTTCTGTTAATGGAGGTTTTCTACTAGTAGAACTCAATGGCCTTGTGTCTTTTTTCAACCTGAATATGTAAAAAACTAAAATGTTTGTCTATCCTGGAAAAATAAATAAATCTGTTATCGAGTTCATCAAGGCAGAACAAAAAACAACGGCCACATACCAAACCCCGACTCCCAAAACTACTTACATTCTCCTGAGCAGAAGATGGAGGTGTGCCGGCCAGAAGGAGACACTTATCGTCATACTGGTCATGTTGTGAGTCCGTGCCCTCGGAGGTGACTGGCATGTGTCCTTTACGCAGCCTCAGGACAGGCTCCGGACCCGCAGTGCTCCCCTCCTTCTCTCGATCTTGTGTGCTCATGGGATGTGGGGGCCTCTCCGTATCAGATATTTTGCCGCTTGCACGGGCAGCACCACGGGGAAGGTCTGAAATTAAAACAGATTTCAGTTTGTTAGCCTGCAGCCAGAAGCGACAGAATGCCTGACACAAGCCAATGAAAACAAAATGCAACGCAACTTAAAAAGCAGAATGGATTACCCGGGCGCTGGTGACACGGGAACATTCTGGGGACACGCGGTACAGCTCAGGGAAAGAACGGAAACATGCATGACCCGGCTTAAATATACACCTGTGTGCTATAAAGGTTATTGATTATCCATTACTGGAGAGATCTGATAGGGTCAGCCTATCAGCACTCGGTGACACAAGGTGAGACCATAGTACCTGACAAATACTTTACTAAGCAGAATGTGAGATGAGTGGAAGTGATAAACCTCCAAATGCTGCAATAAAAGTCAAAGTGCTTCGTAAATTGATGAGGTGATGTTACAGCGTCTATCGGCAGATAGCTGGTCAGTACGATACGACTATCGCGTCTTATTCCGGCCACATTACAATCTTTAGCCACCTTAACCAGGTCACGTTCTCCTGTTTCTACTCTCTTTTAATTCAGCCCATTTATATATTTCGAGGATCACAGATGTAGAACACGTTTCAATATAGTGGTGTAAAGAAATGTTTCTGCCGGATTCAATGCAGGGTCCATTTGATGCAAAACGCATCAGCTCAAAAAAGCCAATAAAACTATTTTACTTGTTGCGTTTCTTACCGAAAGTCCTTTGTAATGGGGGGGTGCTCCCAGTGACTGCGGATGGCACCGCAAACATCAGCAGTATGTAGAAATGTCACCAGCACCCCAAATCCTGTTAGGATAGCAAAATGTTCATTTATTTGCAGTTCAATGTCAGAAAAACTTTTTCTGACAAGGAACTGCATGGAAAATAACAGTTGACACTCACCCGATCCTTAGAGCCAGCTCACTCTTAGGCCCCATTCACACTGAGCGATTCGCAAATCGCGATATCGCACAAATGCTTGCATTGAGCAAGCTAGAATCGCGGCAAAATCCGCTCCAAAAAAGGGTCCTGCTGTAGCGACACACGACAGCGACTGACAGAGCCCCATTGACATGCATTGGAGAGCGATATCGCGCGGTAAATAGCCGCGATATCGCGGGAATTACCGAGCGATAAATCGCTCAGTGTGAACGGGGCCTTAAGGTGCCCATACACTTCACAACCCTCGCAAGACTTTCGTCTTGCGAGGGTTGTAATGTACTTTTTAACCTCTTGCCGTCCGCCCGTAGTAAGAAAACGGACGGACGGCACTGCAGCATCTGCGGGTTGCCGTCTCCAGACGGCAATTTTTTTCTGCTCGCGCGCGCCCCCTAGCGGGCACGCACGGGCAGAAAAGACCCGCTAAATGCACACACCCGTTACCGAAAAATTGTAAGGGATGAGAATAAGAAAAAAAAAAGTACACTCGGGGAAGAAATGTCTGCAAAAGGAATAAAGCTTTTTCTTTAATATCTAAAACGCTTTTTACCCCAAAAAGGACACGAGAGTGGTCGTACCCGGCAATACCACCCTCTCCATACAACCCCGCGCTAATCCAGAAAAAGAAAACAATGAACGCTTACATACCACTTGAAAAGGCAGAATTTTAGCATCTGTGCAGCTTAGGAATCAGGTGACTAAGGACCCGGTAACAATATCCTTCTAAAGGATTGTCCCACATTCCCCAAACTGAACACTTTATCACGGTGTGTTATTTTATTTTTTATATAATAGTGTTGAAAAGCTAATCACAATCCACAATTAAAATGGCTTTTTAGCACCATCACAATTTGTGACGGGTACTTTAAGAAAACTAACCTTCCAGACAGAAAAAATAAATCAAATAACAAATAATCCACTTTACATACACAACTTTTTACTAGAATGTCAAAAAAAATGTAAGGAAAAAAAACCAAAAATAAAAAAATAAAAAAAACTTTGAAAGAAAAAGCTTTATTCCTTCTGCAGACATTTCCTGCCAAAGCCAAACAGCTAAACTCTTTTTCCCCACAGAAGAGACGAGAGTGGTCGTACCCGGCAAAAGCACCTTCTCAACCCACGAGCTAATCTACAAAAATAAACCAATAAGCGCTTACGTACCACTTGAAAGGCAGAATTTTAGCATCTGTGCAGCTTAGGAATCAGCTTGCCGCAGAAGAACGGTGGAGTAGGAACCCAGTAACAATATCCGTTAAAAGGAGAGCACAAAAAGTGCAGGAAGGCGTTCGCAGTCCCGGAGGAAAAATTGCTGCTGTTCCTCAAGAAAAAGTCTACAAATGATTTGGTTTATTGAAGAGTCAGCTGTGCGCTGGGAGAAGTCAGAAGCTGGCGTTCTGGGGAGTGCTCTCTTGTCTCTGCACACATCTGTTGGAGGGGAAACATTTAACAGGGCACGCTCTGTTTCAGATAACGCACAGCTAACCATCTGGGTCCTAACGGCCTCTCCTGCGCAGGCTCTGACCTCCGAGAAGATTCTGCCGAGCTGGCAGAAAAGGACATACCCAAACACGTCGCTCTGCCAGGGGGACCGGAATCACATGGCTTTCCTAATCAGCGGCTTAATATGCAAGAAAAGTCCAGGGCATTAACGAGGAAAAGGCGCTCAGGGCTGATTAACCAACTGGCAGAGCAGGGCCGGGCTTAGCAAGCGTGAGGGGGAGAGACAGCTACTTAAAAGTTGAAATGAAACTAAATGCTCAGCGAGAAGTTGGAATGAGAATCCGATACTATCAGAGTTCATTCAAAAATAAAAACAATAAAGATTCAAAAAGAACAATTCCAATTCCTTTACAACAGTCGGTAAAATATATGCTTTTCAATTTTCCTGCAGCCACTCTGATGATAAATTCTGATTCAATTTATGAAAAGTTAAAAATAAAAATGAAGGACATACACCAGCCATAACATTATGACTAGGGATGCACAGATAGCGGTATTTCGGTATAGGAGTACTGATATTTTCATTCCAGTACTCACCGATACCGAATACCGATACCAGAAGTCCCATTCAGGAAGCCAGGAGGCGTGTAATGACTCGCCATCTGGCTTCCTGATTAGCCGGGCAGCGTGTAAAGACTCGCCATCCGCCTTCCCGATTAGCAGGGAAGCCGTCCCCATGCTTCTCGTCACTAGGTGACGAGAAAGCATGGAGCTGGCTTTCTGGCCAATCAGGAAGCCGTGCATTGTGTAATGATGCGGCGCCAGGCTTCCTAATTGGCCGGGAAGCCGGTTCCATGCTCCCTCGTCATGAGGTGACGAGGGAGCATGAAGTCGGCTTCCCGACCAAACAGAAAGTCGGGCGCCGCGTCATTACACGCTGCCCGGCTTACCGATTAGCCGGCTCCATGCTCATGGAGCCGGCCAATCAGGAAGCCGGGCAGTGTGTAATGACGCGCTGCCCGGCTTCCTGATACCGGAAGTATTGGGCTAGGCATTGGAGAATTTGGCCGAGTATGAGTACTTGCCCAAATACTCCGATACTAGTATCGGTGCATACCTAATTATGACCACTGAAGCCCCATTCACACCTGGGCATTTTGTCGCCCGTTTTTTTCCCTAGCTTTGAAACTATGCAAATCAAAATCCCATGTATTGCTATAGGTGCCGTTAACGCAAACGCGCTGAATCACGTGTAACACACCCGTTGCTTAAAAAATAGTCTATTAAAGTCTTTTGTGACGCTTCTCAGCTTGTTTTGCACTATAGACTTCAATGGAAATGCTCCAAACCACACGTTTTTGCTCTTTTTCACAGCGCGTTTCTGCAGCCGAGACCGAGACTTTTTATTGGATAACTGAAAATTAGGCTTAAAACGCTCTTGCATATGAACAGAAAACACGCGCAAAAAAAAGAGCTAGAAAAAAAAAGTGCTGCAACGCTGTCGCCCTGGTGTGAATGGGGCCTGAGAGATGAAGTTTTATTTTTTTTCACCTAGACGAAAATGAGCACTTAACCCTCGCAGTATGGAGGTAGCCTCACTGAAAGGGTTAAGGACACTTGCCCGGAGTTCTGCTTTAAAGTCAAAATGTTTTTAAGCAATTTCATATACGAATTAAAATTTCTTACAAAACATGTTGCTACTTGATGTGTAAAAGTTTTCGTTTCCTGTAGAATCAGCTGATCCCTGAGCTCTGGTCCTGATATCCTGTTCTAGGGTGGCTCCTTTTCCTTGCACGGTCCTATGGAGCCACCCTTTGTGCTCGTAAGCCATGTGTATCTCCACAAGTACACAGGCACAGCAAAGCAAATCCACTGCTCCTTCATCCCTGCTCCCTTTTCCACGCTAGCAGATGGATAGTTGCTGGAGACTGCTCTGTCCCCTGTGATCTTGTACTCAATAGGAAGTTCAGGGAAGACAAGCCGAGAGAGTTGGAGCCGTTTGAAAACATGATGACTAAGTGCTTGGCCAAAAAAATAAAAAATACTTTGCTGGGCGATGTGTATTTGTCTGATCTGGATTCATTACCCAAAAAAAGTCTCGACAGTTTAATATTACTTTAATTACAGGAATTTCCTGCACAAAACACAAAGTGTCATGCTGGATGACCGCACAGATCTGGAAGAAAGACACAAAGCGCACTAAGATTCTAATAAGAGTACACACAACTCTTGTAGTAAGATAATATTTGCAGTCGTAAGCAGCCAGTTAACTGAAACAAGGCTTATGTAGATAATAAAACAATCATAAAAATAATAAAAGTTTATAGAAAAGGTGACAGAATCCAGCATGCTGACTAGTTCTGACCCAATGGCAGGTTTTACAACAGTCCCAAAGCGATCCTCTGCACCGGTGCCTCTACAGCAGCTACTTACTGACAGAGACCGCCGTGCAGGGGACGGGAAGCAGAGCGATGCTGGGGCCCACTAGAAAATGAGGAACTTTTAAAGAAGAACAGAAGCTTTATACAAAAGGTGGACCTCCTAGCTGTAAATATGAAAATAAAAACCTGAAGCTTTAATATCACTAAGTACAGACAAACGAATTAAAGTCCAACACCGGCTAGCGTTTATGTAGTTACAGCACCTTTTTTTAATTCAAGTTAAAAAAAAAAAAAAAAAGTTTAAATGTATAAATAAAAGCTGACCATTATAAGCGGCCCTGGCAATGTTCTATAGGTTTTTTTTTTTTCAACCCGTTATAACTGCTGTGTTCATTATGAGGGGTTCTCAGGTCTATAGACATGCTGTGCCCATTGTGAGGGGCTCCCACCATTCCTGTGCTGAGTTCCTGGGTCTGTACACATGCTGTGCCCATAATGAGGAGCTCCCTCCATCCCAGTGGTGAGTTTCTGGGACTGTACATTTGCTGTGCCCATTATGAGGGATGCCCACCATCCGTGTGCTGAGTTTCTGGGTCTCTACACCTGCTGTGCCCATTATGAGGGGTTCCCACCATCCCTGTGCTGAGTTCATTGGTCTCTGCACCTGCTGTGCCCATTATGAGGGATGCCCACCATCCCTGTGCTGAGTTCCCAGGTCTATACACCTGTTGTGCACATAATGAGGGGCTCCCACCATCCCTGTGCTGAGTTCATTGGTCTCTGCACCTGCTGTGCCCATTATGAGGGGCCCACCATCCCTGTGCTGAGTTCCCAGGTCTATACACCTGTTGAGCACATAATGAGGGGCTCCCACCATCTCTGCACCACATTCCTGGGTCTGTACCCCTGCTGCACCTATTACGAGGGGCTCCCATCATCCCAGCTGGATTTTATATACTACAGAGACTTAGAAGGGTACCCCCAAAACTCTCAGATGAAGAGCAGCACTGTTAGGGATGTGCCCGGTGTAGTATCCAAAACTTCTCAAAATGATTCCTCTCAGAGTTCCCAAGACATACAAATAACGGTTAGGTGGCTTAAGGCCTGGTTCACACTGGGCGTTTTACAGTGCGTTCCTACGCGCTGTAAAACGCTCAACATGTGAAAACCAATGATTGCCTATGGGATGGTTCCCACCTGGGCGTTTTACAGCACGTAGGAACGTGCTGCAAAACGCCCTACGCCCAAAGAAGTACAGGAGCTTCTTTGGGGAAGCTTTTCCAGACCCAAGAACAAAAAATTTAAAAACTTATTTCAGCTTACCAGTCCTAACATGTGTTGGCTGCATTAGTTTTCTTTTTTCCCCTTTATTTTCACCTGGCGATCCTGCCAGCAACACACTTCCTGTATTAGGGAGACAACACTCAGTCAATGTACTGTATCTATGCACCTGACCACAGGACGCAGGGAGGTTAGGGTTCTGTGTAGTTAGTGACAGCTGAGACAGGTGGAGCTGTGATTGCAGCGCCACGGTCTCAGCGATCACACAGAGCAGACGAAGAACGGACGGTCTTCGTCTGCTGTATGGTGAGCTCCTATGCCGTGGTCACGGGCCCCTCAGAAGAGCAGGGGACCCCCGAAAACCACAAGCGCAGCCCCGGACACGATCGCCGCCGCTCGATTTGATACAAGTGATCCGATTAGATCACTTGCATTAAACGAGCAGCGGCTCCCACTGTACATTTAGCGCTGCTTGTCCGGAGCAGGGCTAAATGTACCAAAAAACTACTCGCCGGGCGCCCGAAACTGCATGTCCCGGGCGTCGGGAGATAGGGATTTGCTTCATAAGACGCAGACATTTTTGCCCGCCTTTTGGGGGGGGCTACTTGGCTGTAGCCTACTGGAAACGCGCAAAGAAACGGCCCAAAGTAGTACCTGTACCTTTTCAGGCGCGGGCCGTTTCGTAGCGCGTTAGGGACGGGCGGAAATACGGCAAGGTGGGAACGAGACCATTGAATACAATGGGATTTATATTTTTGAGCGTTTTGTAGAGCGTTCGTCGAGCGTAGAACGCGCTACAAAACGTTCAGGTGTGAACGAGGGCTAAGAGAAGTTAATTGTTACCGTTTATACACTTTCCAGCTTCCACTGAACACGGATATGTCTGTTTTGGATCAGCTGACCCTTGAAGAATGAAATGGAAGCCACCTGCTCATGGATAGACTTCTTGTTCCGTTTACGGAAGTCGTCCTTTATTTTAGGCTCAATTACTCTTTAGTATGAAATTCCCCAAGCGCAGGCAGCTCTTAGGTGAGTCAATTTAACAGGAACTGTGTGCACTCACAAGACCTTCCCCAAGGATCACTTAGTTATAGTTGTTGTTGTAGGAGAGGAATCATTTCTCATGCAACACAAAA